TGGAGCACCGTGTCACACTGCTAGAAACACCCAAAAGTGACAGGAAGAAAATGGTATCCAGAAGTTGCCCTGGCCCGAGCCAATCTCCTGACATGAACCCCATCGAAAACCTCTGGGCCATACTCGACCGGCAAGTTAAGAAACAACCAAAAACCAACTTCGAAGAGCGATCTACTCCAAGTTTTGAAGCAAGAGTGGGCGAAAATCCCACAATCTAAAATTGACGAGATGGTACTCACGATGCCCCAAAGGATCAACGAACTCCACGAAGCGAAAGGAAGATCTACTAGATATTAATTAAATTATAAATATATCAATTCATGTGAATATGACTGAAAATTTTCATTTTTTCTGAAAAGGTGGTGTCTATTTACTTATGACCACACTGTGTATAATTAATCAATATGCATTTTGTCCTTTGCTAAATACTTAAAAATTAACTGCAGTATTGCAGCATAGTTAATAGTGTAAATTGCGGAGACGGGGTTTTCTTATTTTAATTTAGTATATACCGAAAATAGGTAATCAGAATCAATATTTTAAAAAAAATTACCATAAATTTGCAGTAATAGTGATAATATAATTTCATTCTTTTTCCAGTTTATTTGAAATTATGAATTGTCCAAAATATTTAAACGCCTATACTTAACTAGATAAATAAGGAAGGGCAATGTGATTGTTGTTTTTTAAATAATGTTGTTGGTTTTGTTATCAAATAGTCTGTAGTTGTGTTTACTATTTTAGAAATTATTAGAGTAATAATTAGCTTTTCATAATTTTATCGATAATACCTAGGGGTCGCCACTAAGCAGAGCTGACCTTCGATCCGTTAATATAAACTTGTGTGATATGTGCGTTATCCTATCGGCGAAGGTTCCAAGCAGCGAAGACCCTACGCTAGCCGACAAAGAAGCCATTTTAGCATCGCTAAATATCAAAGCTATGACGTTTGATGATACAATAGGTGTTTTAACCAACCGTAAGTAGTTGTAGGTAGGGGATGGAAGGGGGAGTTTGGAAATTTCTTATTCAGCGTAATTTTCTGAACTAGGAAAAGGAGGGCATGAATAATAAAATATAGAAAATGCAGAAATATAATTGTATTTCCGGGTCTTTTATTTAAAAACATTCCCGAAAGACAGTTCTAAACTTCATAGTGGCTTATATTGTTCTAGTTGTTAGTTACCATTTTAGTTAATAGTTATTTGTGTCTATATTTTCCCCATTAATACTTGGTTTTGAAGCTTCTGGAAATAATAAGAGTTCTTGGATCATTCATATATTTTAAAATTAGTTAGTTTTACGTGTCATGATGAAACATGAGTATATAAGTACCTTAAATCCAATGAACGCACTGCTGGTGAGCAGCAACAAGAAGGCAGTTCATTTGAAGATTATCACCAGACAACGTTGTTTAATTTCTTTTCTGTTCTGATCAACCTAACTATTTCTAACGACCGGTTTCATTTATTACTGTGGCTCATAACTCAGAAATTTTATCTCGCCATTTTCAGCTGCAATATGTTGTTCTTTTTTGTTTTAATAAGCCTACTTCGCAACAGAATTTGGGATTATATGTATGTACTACAATTTTATTTTTCTTTATTATCAGAGGTAAAATTGAAAAAATAATTTGTGACGTAGAGGTCTTATGCTTTCTTTGATTGGCCGTACCAAATAATTTGGGATTACTTATCAAATGCATTTTTAGAAATTTTTATTCTATAAAATGTATATTCTTAAATTTAACAAAAAACAATTTGTATGCTTTTGAATATATATATATATGTATATAAGTGCCAATGAACTACTGCTTACAATGATTCAATCGTTAAGTTTTTAAGTTACTAATTAGTCTTACTAACCCTAGGCAATACACAAATTTTATGCTATAAACTTGTTTATGAGTTGTTGTTTTTTACTTTAAATGTACGTTATTAACAGATTCAAGCAATCAAGAGGGATTTCCCCCACTTGGAAGTCCTGTGGCACTACAAAGACGAGGATCTGTTTATGGAACCAATGTTCCTCTCATCACAGAGTTAGGTAACTACTGGCAGCTATTTCATCACGCGGTCCACGTTTCATTAGAGCGTCTTGTCAAGCCTAGATCTTTATTACACGTTATTGTAAAAGTAGAAACAACTTTTATATTTACATAGCTGTAAGATTAATAAGCCTTATTATTTTGTTCGCATTACCAAAAATTAAATTTTCTTTTTCTCAGGTCAATATTTTTAGATTCTAGATTGGTTACCTACGTATTAAGTAATTGTTAGTTAGATTTTTTTAAAGCTTTGTACTGTTAGTTACGGTTTGTGTTTTAGTGGAACTCTCCAGAAGAAGCTGTAAAACGAAACATTGCATGTCTGATTAAAGAAAAATAAATTTGATTTCTAGTATTAAATGGATTTTACATATTGTAACTTCTTTCTTCGAACGATAATTCTAATATTTGGCATCTGGACAACAATTATACACTATATTTATACACTAAATTCAGTTTTAATAATTATTATTATTCTTATCTTAAAAAAAGATTCCAATGTTCCATTTCTAAGCACGAAATCATCACATTTTGCAAACATTTTTAATTCATCAAACATTACACCAATTTCAGGTTCCTTGTCACTTAATTAGAGTTTACTTTTAACGTTCAGTTCTCTTTTATATACTGGATCGTGGTTGCAATAAATTGAAAATTCTTTAATCCTTTACACAGTAAGTCACGTTGTTATCTTCTAGATCATGATACCACCAAATCTAGAAATATTGAAACTAGCTAGCTATATTCAGTATTTCTTAGTAAGTATTTCATATTTCATAATACGGTAACACACACTCTGATCAAACTATATAGTACTAAAAATCGCCCAAATTTCTGTTATTCAGTAAACGATTCCAATGTCCAGTTTCTGGACCAAGATGACGATGATGACCCTGACACAGAACTCTACTTGACTCAACCCTTTGCTTGTGGGACTGCTTTTGCCGTTAGTGTGCTAGATTCTCTAATGAGCACAGTAAGTATACATGACTCTCCGGAAAATAATAAGTACTGCGAAATTTATCTTTCCATAGCTATTAATTCTAAATAAAGTAATATTGATAAAATCTTTTGAGGGGGGGGGGGAGACGAAATAGAAACAATAGTATAGGACTATATATTTTAGTTCCCTGTGTATCTAACACGGATAATAACTTCTTCTAGACGTATTTCAATGCTAATGCCTTGACACTGATACGCTCGCTGATCACTGGAGGAGCAACTCCCGAGCTAGAACTCATCCTGGCAGAGGGCGCTGGATTACGTGGCGGCTACTGCACTCAACAGACGATAATCAACAGAGATCGTTGTAGAGTTGGTCAAATTTCACTATATGATGGACCTTTGGCTCAGTTTGGGGTAGGTACATGTTTATAGTTAGATTTAGTAAGTTTTTCTTCTCAAATTAAGTTTCCATGTTTTCTTGAAAACATGATGACAAAGTGCACAGTCGTAGCATCTTTAAACATCTGTAACTAAAACTAAGTTTAAACGTTGTTTTATTTTTATTTTTTGTATGTAATTTCTTCTTTACTGAATGTTGAAAACTTAGAAGTAGCCTTATATCATGAAAACTGTGTGTCAAACAGCATGCCACCTCAAAACTTTAAATAAATATTCTGGAGTTTCAGTCAATGTCCAAATATTTATTACAATATTTTTCAATATAAAAATGTATAATTTTAGATCCCCTTTCCAGTGTCTCAGTGTCAACTTTGAGGGCTTTTAGCACTAAACTTTGGGATTCATGCCCTGCAGTAGGTATAACGCAGATAGCCCACTGTGCAGCTTGGCTTTTAAATAAAACAAACTAGCATACTCATAGATAATACTTTTAAAAGCCTATGTTTTAGAGGGGGACTGGCAACAATTAGAGAGATTGAGCCCCAAAAAGGAAGTGCCATAAATTGATGCCAGATCTATGTTTTAAAGGAGGACTGGCAACAAATAGAGAGAATGGTCCTCTAAAAGGAAGCGCTGTCTATTAACATTAGAAGTTCATTACGTTTGTCTTAAAGTCCTCATAACCCAGTTTATTTACTTTTTCTCTTCACAATGCAGCCAAAATGTGCAAAAGAGGATGATGTTGAGAGTTTTCAACATCATGCACACAAAAAACAACAACAACAATGTTTCAAAATAGGAAAACCACACTTCTCCAAAGACATATTTGTTATCTCAATGTCAATACCTGAAAGTATGTATAAAACCAACTCAGTATGTGGATCAGTCAGAAGAGCAAAGTTCAGCATATGTACGGATGAGCAACTATGTAATTTTGTTTGTTTTTGAACAAATGTCTTCCCATTCTAAGCATTTGTATGGATTTTGACGTACAAAAGATTACAGTAACCTGTGTTAAAATCTCCTGTTACAGTGAAAACGTTTATATCTATCATTCTTAACCCGCTGCTCAAACAAAAGTAATGGAAACTTTGTAAGATATGATTGAATACATCTACCTTCAAACTAGCAACAATTTATAGTAATTTTCGGAGGCCAGTCTCCATTGGTTAATTACAATTCTTCTTCATTCATAAAACATTAAATTGAGCTGTCCTTTACGAAGTGGCTTAACTTTAAGTCTGAGGACTTATAATGTTAAAAATCGGGTTTCTATACTGGTAGTGAATACAACAGCTTTGTTCTTAATATCAAACAAACAAAATCTCTTAAAAGTGCGACACCTGTCAATTTATAACATAAATAAAATAACACGTTTTCTTTGTTTGTCTGTTTCCTAATTTATTCACTTTATACTTTTTTCTTATTTTCTATGAATAATTTCAACACAATTACAGATACTAACTCTAAAAAAGGAAAACGTTAATCCGTTTCGGTATGCAAAATTGGACACAAATTAATAGAGAAACAGGGTTAAAACTTCTTTTTTTTAAATTAAAGCTTGCTCCCCAGTAGCAAAGCGGTATGTCTGCGGAATTACAACGCTAGAATCCGGGTTTCGATACCCGTGGTGGGCAGAGCACAGATAGCCCATCGTGTAGCTTTGTGCTTACTTACAAACAAACAAATTAAAGCTTAGGAAACTTCAAGTTTTCATACTTTCTTTAAACCTTATTTTAATAGGCTTAGACACAACTGAACATTTGCTGTAACTCTGAGCATACAATTTTCAAAGGCCTGGCATGGCCAGGTGGATAAGGCGCTCGACTCACAATCTGAGGGTCGCGGGTTCGAATCCGCTTACCACCAAACATGCTCGCCCTTTCAGCCGTGGGGGCGTTATAACGTGACGGTCAATCCCACTGTTCGTTGGTAAAAGGGAAGGCAGCTAGTCATCACCACCCACCGCCAACTCTTGGGCTACTCTTAGGGACGGCTAGCGCAGATAGCCCTCGTGTAGCTTTGCGCGAAATTAAAAAAAACAAAAAACAAACATTCTAAAAGAAATAATTTTTAAGAGGGTAAGTGTATAGGCCTAGAACGTAGTGAAAGTAAATAGTTGTTATTACAGATATTTCAGAGGGTGAGCGAAGTGGAGCTGGGGTGGTTATAGATATAGAATGTAGGTGTTTAGTCAAATGTTTAATAACAGATGTTTCATGTAGAATGGCCAATATATTTTTACAACCGCTAAACCTATGTATACTGCTGTTTAGGTTAACAATAAAAACATCTTCTAAACAGGCTCTTGGAAAAAGAGCCAAAAATCAGTCCTTCTGTACATAGTTAACCCCTCAGTATTCTTACCACAGCTGGCTAGTTAGACAGTTAGTATTCACGCACAATTGACTTAACACCTGGTTTCTCGGTTTATGCTTACAGTTAAAGCTGTCTGTTCAAACTTTTAAACTATTACCACGAAGAGTTAGTGTTTTGTTTCGTTCTCGAAAGAGCCAGCGAGGTAACGTAAATTCGATTAAACATAAATATATTTAAATTATTCGATATATATGAAGACATTTCGTGGCTTTTTCAACCTTCACGTAAAATAGTAGTGTTATCATCAAATGTCCCATAGGTTTTCCTTTGCCTGACAGCACTCAGAGCTTAAAATAGTATTTACAACATTGTGGCGTATTATTAGTTTTTTGGCTTCAAAATACTGTGTATGGCATAGCTGCGTGTGATATCAATATTCTGTGCATTATTCTTGTGATTTTCTCATTCTTTGATATATATATATATTTACATGCAGTTAAATTTTTATACAGTGTTTGCCAACAGGTGTCATAGTTGTAGTATTTTTGTTTAGAACATATCTCCAGTTTTCTTGAAAAATAACAAGTTTAATACAAAACGTTAAAATATTTCTACAAAATAAATCAAACCTGCATAAGTGTGTCGGTTATGTCTGAAAATGATATTTCAGAAGCTGGAAAAGTACTTTAGAAGTAATTTTGTTAGTTACACTACTTTTCGTAGACTTGTCAACGGTTATGACTCTAGGTCATCGAATAAACTTTAAATTATGCGATTATGACTCTAGGAAATCGTATAAACTTTAAGTTATGTGCACACAAGAAACCTAACCCTAAAAAAGCTTAGTGAGATAAATATTGTTTTTACTCCCAGAAGATGTGGAAATCTCGGAAGAGAGATCTCTTCAATTTACTATAAAGCATTGTTACACGTCTTTCATACTTCTTCGATATATTATAAGTTGTTTTTAATAGGCCTGTGAGCAATCTATCAATGTCCAGTGAAACCAACTGAAAGCCATCTATAAAATAATCTAATAATCGTTCTATATCAAGCACATTCTTAAGCCTCATCTCTGTGTCGTAGAAAAAAGTTTCATAAATCTAACAGGAAGGCTAGATAGCCTTTTACGCTCTTCCTATACAATACAAAAAACGTGTGCGGTGTCCGTGTAAAAAAACAAGCTGCAACATGTTTAACGTAATATTTTATCAGAATTATACACACAGGAAATATCCACAAAGAAACGAATATATGTAAGGTAACGTCAGAATTTAGGAGCTTTAGTTTTTAACTGTTTTTCCTTGCTCCATTTGCTTTTTATGTTAAACTCATAAGATCATAGATAATAGTGATATCGGCCAGCTTGGAATTCATAAATCTGAGACTTATTGACAGTACACCATTCACTATAAAAACAATGACATTATCGACAATTACTCTTTTATAATCTCAACGATTTTTTTCTTCTCTTTCACTTGATATTGATATTTTCATAACAGCAATCGTAACGCAACTAAGTTAACCAATTTTGAATATTATTATGTACGTACTTATTGTCTTTTATTATCAGCAGCGTCTATGCATTATTATAAAGTTTTATTAATGGCTTCCTTAATACACTAAATCCCTTAACAACAGGGACCGTTAATTTCCCTATCTACTTCACCAGGATTGTGCTAACCCATATAACATATTTTTTTGGTTTTTGATTATTTTGATTTGTTATTCAGTTTTTAAATTCCTTGTACCGAACAAATATTAATACAAAAAGTTTTGTCTGATTGAATATTAGAATTTGACCGTCATTTTCCTAGCGTACCCACGAACCCAAATTGCGGCAATAGGTTGCGAACCATGAATCCTCGGATCCACAATCTGGACACATTAACCACAGGCTACGCCTGGCCCACTTACTAAACAAATAGTGGGAAAACAAACATATCTTAAAAACCTTAGCTTTCACATCTCTTGAAACTATCCTCTTTAAATAATGTAAATATTTCCGCTCCCTTGAAGGTAGCCCCCTCTCCCGTGGCTCAGCGGCTGGTCTGAAGGTTTATAGTGCTAATAATCGGGTTTCGATACCCATGTTGGGTACAGCACAGACAGCCCATTGTGCTTACCAAAGAAACTTTGGAGATATTTACAACTTAAATTGTACCTGTTTCTAGTATTCTAAAAAGAATGAACATTGTGAGATTTCTCTGCAGTAGGAATCTATTCCTACGTATTATTCCCTCGGTGGCTTAGTGGTAAGCTTTAGGGCTTATATCTCTAAAATTCGGGGTTTGATATCTGCGACGAATACTATTTAGATACTTCATTGTATATCTTTTTATTTAAATACATAATAAACTTTATATATTAATGTATGAAAACATAAATAAATGTTAAATTATTTTCTGTATACAATATTTCAAATACTTGACAGTCATATGTTTTTATTATTATTCAGTCCCCTTAACGCACACGTTCAGAATGTCATAATTATTTGTTTTATTCAACCATTAAGTTTGCATCATTAATTGGAAACGATAAAAGAGGCAAGTGACTGGTGCCTAACCTCAACTCTGAAAATGTCAATATAAATAACCTTTTATGATGCAACTTGCTAGTTCTTATAATGTCAAAAAGATTGAATTAATTATATCCCGTTACCAAAATACGTGATGAAGAACTATGCAGAATTACCATTTCTAAGAACTTGTGAATGAAAACGAAGAAAAATATACATTAAGTTACCAACCACACTATATCTGCCATACCTAGTACTGACGAAACCTTTAGCCCAATACCAGAGTTTATCAGATTAGTTAAAATACGACAAGCATAGCAGTGGTCGAGGCGCTATTTATATCATAGGTGTAAACACGTAAAAGTCTACGATATGATATACATATATATATATATATATATAAAGCTTCCCTAAGTTTTGCAAAAAGTTATTCCAACATGTTTAGATGCAAACACTACCAATTCAAACCTTCAGTTGTCAACAGTATAACTTTAAAATTATGACAGAGTCCATAAATCCATATGAAATTGCATGGATTTTTTTAAACACAATTTTCTAAAATATTTATGCGCCAAATTTCTTGCAAGTTACGACTTTGTTGGTTATAGATTCTGTAATTAAATGAGCCATAAAAACAAATGTAAACTGAAATACCACCAATAATGCAATTAATTAATAGTGGGATCTCTTATATATTTTACACAGAAAATGAGTAACTTCACAATTTTTCTATTTTACTGAGTGTTTTACTAAGTTATTCAATATAATGTAGTATGTGGGCCTCACTGGTAATGAACAGTATAAAAACAAACCGGTAATTTGGGCGTTAGCATATATCATATGTAGAAAAAGATTTGACGAAACAAAAGAATTAAACGCAGAAGAATAACAGTACAAATGTTTCTAAAGATGTAAAGAAAATGCCCTTTTGAAAATTACCAGTATTTTTCTCTCCTAGGAATAAGAGAGAATTTCTGTTGGGTGCTGTTTTCACACAACATATGGATATTACTCTTCTGTTTTCACACAACATATGGATATTACTCTTCTGTTTTCACACAGCATATGGATATTACTCTTCATATTCCATTTTTATATTGCACACCTATTGATATACATATATTTAGAACATTATGCAACTGTTGTTGAATATTTACAGATAGAATACAGAATACGTTGCTTCAGATTTCATTAAAGATTTTTCGTGTTTTTTTAACAAATACACAAAACGCAAGTACCGACTAATTTAAATTCTAATAACATTGACTTTACTTAACGTTATATATGGCGTAGACGACATTTAAAAAAACTTTCAACAGAATTCAATTAGTAAGTCCTAGATGTTCACAGAGCCAAATTAAACATGTTTAAATTGACTGATAAAATTCAAGGATGTAAGTGAGTTGGTTCTGAATGTCGCGCAAAGCTCCACGAGGGCTATCTGCGCTCACTGTCCCTAATTTATCAGTAATAGACTACAGGAAAGGCAACTAGTCATCACCACCCACCGTCAACTCTTGGGCTACTTTTTTTTTATCAACGAATAGTGGGATTGACTTCCACATTATAATGCCCTCATTGCTGAGAGGGCAACATGTTCGGAATTCGAACCTGCTACCGACAGATTGCGAGCCAAGCGCCCTAACCACCAGGCCACGTCAGGCCTATAAGTCGGAATGGTAATAAGTGTGCACGCAGATTAACTAATTTTGGGAAATTCTGTGAGGTGTTGTTGTGCGTGCTTTTGGTTGAAAGACACAAGAGGAAGAAGAAGCTGTCTTCCTAAAAATAAAATTATCAATAACTTTTGATCAAAGCAAGCTACCTACAAAGATCAGAGCTCAAAATAATAACCCAGTGAATAATGAAGCTAATTTACCAGTTTAACTACGAGTATGCAATCATGATGTCAGAAAAACACGTAGCTTCAAGAAGTATGATTATAAAAATCCTATAATCCGAGCGCTTTTGAATGGTTGACCTTTCTTCTTCAGGGGCGAATTGGGAATGGTGGTGTGACTGAATAAATGACATATAAAGGAAGTTGAGTGACGTCATGAAGGTCACCTGGACTTCCAGAAAGTATTTTTTGAATATTTCTCAATCTACTGTTGTAAGTGTACCTCATTTCCGGTGCAACACAGCCGGAAACTAGAACGTCAGGTAAAAATGTGTTTCAGTTGTTTTGCTTTAAAAAAGTATCTCGGTGGATCCTGCAGTGGAGATATATGTTTTATAGCTCCTGTGTTACAATAGTATCTGTTACTTGAATCTGAAATAAGAAGGAACTATTGTGAGTAGTGACAATCTAGTTTCAATTTATTATATTCAAGAAAAAGAAGAAAAAGTTAGTTTAAGATAGTTAAACAATAAACTTTGGCTAGGCCAAAGTCTATTGTAACTAAGTTAACCCTAATTGCTTTTACGATTAACTTTGAAGTTAATTATGACAGATATTGAAAAACAAGCAAGAGGTGTTAAAATAAGACAAGGAAAGGGAAACAGAAATAAGAAAATTGACAAAGAAGATGAAATGGAATTTGAAGAAAAGAAGAGTACAACATCTGATCTTGAAACTAACATTGACACGGGAGATGAATGTTGGACTTCATTTAAGAAAAAACTAAAACCTATACGATAAACAATTAAGCAAAGGAAATCTGAAGAAATTAACGAGAGCAAAATAGAAAAAAGAAGACAAAATATAAATCAAAATCTATCTCCAATAATAGTAGAAAATGTATCCAACGAAGTTAACGATATTAAAGTGGCTAAATAAATGAATTTCTTTTTCCAGGTTTAAAAGATTAAAAAATGGCGATATTTTTATCAGGACAAATAATGAAAAACTAAAGCCGAATTGTTAGAAAAATGGCCAAATGAAATTATTTTGCTAAATCCAAAATTACAGTAAGATTACCTTATAGAATGCAGGGACAAAAATAATAGTTGTTAAGGGTGTGAACTATACGATAACGCCCGAAGACATTATGCAGGGACTAAAAAGTCAAGGTGTAGAAAGTAATAAAGTAGAAAGAATAATAAGTAAAAGAACAGGCGAGGTAACAACAGCAGTAAAAGTCTTTTTTTTTAACAAACGTGAAAAATGTAAGTAATTTAATTGAAAATGGTTTACATATTGAGTATTTACATTTTAAAATTAAAGAATATAAGGCTTCTCTACCTATAATACAATACTTCAAGTGCCAAATATTCGAACACAAAGCATGAAACTGCCTTAAATACCGATACATGTGTAAGGTGTGCTGGTAGCCATGAACTGAAAGAATGTAATGAAGAAAGAAACAAAGAAACTAAATGTGCATATTGTGGAGAGGATCATGATGCAAGGTCTAAGCTGTGTAAAACATATGAAGAAGAATAAATAAAACATAAAAATACCCTAGAACTTTTGCTTTGGCTACTAAAGAGAATTCAAAACAAGCTGTAAATCAAATAATGTTACATAAGACTATAAGTGGCCTAAAATATAAGATTTTAATCGATATAACATTGATTTTAGCTGATTTATGAATTAAAATTAAAGGCTCTAAAACTACAAGAGTGATATTGTTAAATATGTATGTGATACAATACAAAACCTTGTCGAGTTAAATTTGGATCCAAAATGTATTTATGAAAAGGTTGTCACAACATCAAAAATAAATAATCAGGATTGTATTGTATCTATAAATATTCAAGATGACTTGTATTTTTATTATTGAAAATAATAATCATATTGTATGTATTTCTTAAACTAGGCTGGAAAAAGAAAAGTTTTTAAACCTAATGGTTTTACAATTTATAGCAAAGATAGAAAAGCGTGAGAGCATAATTTAAGGTAGGTAACTTCAGTTAGACAAAATAAATCTAAATTTATAACAGAAATAAATTCGTCTGAAAATGAAGTTTGGGCAGTATATATTTGGATAAATTGTATGAGGATAACTATAGCAAATATATATATGCCCAAATAAACGTCCTGATAGGAATTTATTTCAGAAATTAATAGATTATAACACAAATTTAATAATTGCAGGAAATTTAAATAGTAAAAATATAGCTTGGGGCTGTAAAAAGACTAATGTTAACGGGAATTATTTAATAGATATATTAGATAATTTATATTTAATTTTACTTAATGATGAAACATATACTCACACAAGTAATATAACGGGGGAATCAGATATATTAGATTACATTATTACTACTAAGAAATGTTATAAACATACTGAGCAATTGTATATTGAGGAAGATGTAAATAGTGATCATTTACCGATAAGAATTTATATTAATGTATATAAAAAATAAAAGGATTTAAATGAAAACAAAAAATTGAAATACGATTTTAAAAAAGTAGATTGCGATAAATTTTATAGTATTTTAATTGAAAACTTAAAGGATTATCCTTTTCATATCGCTAATAGTAGTAAAGAAATAGATCAATATGTCCATGTTATAAATTCTAGTTTTAATAATGCTATTGAAAGTATCCCGAAATATACCCCTAAGAACCATACAAAGAGATTAAATATGCCATTAAAGTTAAAAGAAAGTTAAGGAAACAATATATGGAAAAAAGTAGCTATTTTAAAAAACTAAGTTTTGGAAAAAATTTAAAAACTTAATAAATTAAGGTAAAAAATAAGTATATATATAATTATCTAAATCTCAATTTCAATAATATAGTAGTCAAATCTGATGAAGATAAAGGAAAAAAAAAGATTATGTATTATGTCTGTCTTTAGAAGTTGATCTGCTTAACATTTCTTTTTCAGTCAATCTCCATGTATCACCTTTATTTTACTTTAACAACACTTAAGTATCGTTTTTCTTGACCATTTTTGAAGCAAAACATCTGTAACACCTTTCAACATAACGCTCTAGTTTCCGGCCGTGTTGCACGGGAAATATGATATACTTACAATAGTACATTGAATTCTGGTTAAGAAGTTAGCACACCGGATCACATACGAAAGTTGTAATGCTTTTCAAACGAGACCCAAAACTCGAGCGCTTTCGAATAGTTCACTGTTCTTTATGAGGAGAATAAAGGGTTATATTTAATGAGTGTAATGAAATATATAGGCACGGATGTCGACGTTACGTAAACCAGATGTTCAATATGACTTAGCCTTCACAACTAGCCAATCATAACCTAAAGTTGTTGGTGTCAGGTTTAGTTTGTGCCAAAGAGGTGTGTATAAAAATTGGTTAACATTTCGTATAACTATTATCGTTTTTTAAAGCTTTTTTTTTAAGAGAACAAAGGAGAGAAGCAGAGTGAGAGGACATTGTGCCAAATTAGTTCTTAAACCGATAACTCGACTCACACTAATTTAGTGGAGAAGTAAGAAAACGTCCATTTCCAGTCCAGACCCGGAACTAAAACTCCTATCCGCCGAGGACTCACCAACTCCGGTTACCCCGCCACGAATGGGTACCAGTAAGCCCTTGTCCAATGCCGAACAACTCGCCATGATACAGAGCTGCATCGAACTGGCCTCCAGCAGTTCAAGTCATGTATCGCCAAATAACTCGCCCAGCACCACGAAATCCATCAAAAGATCCACGCCAACAAACCAAGTAGCCAGCTCACCAACAAGCAGGCAACCTACTGAACTTCAAACATCAACTAGCCAGCAAACTAAACCTCCTCCAGCGATTGTCATGGAAGGCATTCCTGCCAACTTAAGATGTCCGAAAATCGCCTGCGAACTTAGCAGACTTTTCTCAAAGATTTGCTTTACGAACGTCCGAAAATTAGCCAAAGGAGGAGTCGTAATTAAAACTAACACCCCTGAAGAATACGCCAAGCTCCTGAAACCAGGGGACCCCTCAGCTTTCTGGAATGCCAAACTAAAGGTCCACGTCTCTGGAGACCACCAACCAGAAACTTCGCACGCCATCGTTATTAGAAGCTTCCCACTGGACATAACTACAGAGGAAATACTTCAAGAACTAAAATCCCAAGACATTTCAGCCACCAAAGCTGAAAGGATAAAATCTGTAACGACCGGCCAAGAAATCCCCTAGTACGAGCCAGCCTGACCGACGAAAACCACGCAACATACCTTATCAAGAAAGGTGCCAGCCTGTGGTATATCCATCACTCAGTTGAGCCAGCAAGACCCCAGACTACCAACCATTCTACAATGTTTTCACTACCAGGAGTTCGGCCATACCTGTTCCGTTTGCACGTCCAGAGTCAAGTGTGTTCAGTACGCTGAACAACATCCAGTAGCTGAATGCCCTAGACAGCGAGACGAAGCCACATGCACCAACTGCGGAGGACCGCACACCGCCAACGGTGCTCCTAGGTCAAGGTAAAATGCTTAAGTTTTTGCACATTAACATTCAAGGTGGTTTAAACAATAAAGAATACAAGCTATTTAACCTTAACCAAAATTTAAATGCTGATATAACAGCAATTAATGAAAACTTTTTATCACCTAATAGTAATTTCTCCTTCCCTAACTACAACGTCAAAACTATAGCTAAATCACAGAATACTCAAGGGCTAGTGTTACTTGTTAACAAATATTTTAAAGTCTCATTTCAGAATCTAAACATAAACTCAAACAATGAATGCATCTTATGTAACATTCATACTCCCCATCATACAACAATCGCACTACTTGCCACTTACATATCACCCAGCAAAAAACCTGATATCCACCTTCTTCAAACCGTAATTAATCAAAACATGCACGCAATTATTCTAGGTGACCTCAACTCTAAACATCCCGAATTCAACTTCCGAAAAACAAACCGTAATGGTAACATTCTTCACGATTTCATTGATAACAACGATCTATTTGTCATCAATGATAACACTCCAACTCACACACACGCCACAACGGATCACAAGACGTTCTCGGTCTGACAATCATCTCACAGTCGCTAATCCCACATACAAACAACTTTAAAGTATTAGAACACCTCGGCGGTGATCAAAACCCATCTCATTCACCATAAATATCAACCCCCACAACACAACACCAACCTCACGTCCCAAAGTACTTGACTTCACTAAATCAAACTGGAACCACGTAAAACTAATCACGGATTCACTTCTACCCGACATTAAATTTAACATCAGTCAACTGCTCACAAGACATCGATACTTACGCTTCAGAAATTACAAATGCTGTCATCAAAGCAATCGATAACACCATCCCAATCAGACAGATATATCTTAATATCAATCACTGGCAGCTAACTACAGAAATCCATAACCTAATAAAAACCAGACGGAGCCTGCGCAGAAAA